AATATAATTTTTACAAAAATTAAATTTGAATTTAAAGCCGTTGTCTTACCTTTTTTCGAAAACGGTCGATGTGGTCGGTCCGAAGCCTGTATTGTTAATAAAATAAACAGAAGGACAAAATCGCCTTTTATAGCCGCTGGGTAAGTCCTAAAGGGGTGGGGGTTGAAATTGTTGTTAAACACAAGAAATAAAACGTGGGCAGATAGCGAAATTTATGGTCTATTTATTTTTATATGCAATTTCATTCAATATTTTTATAATCTACGATAATTTTTTTACCTACATTGTTTACAATTTTAATGAGGTGTTGAATAGGTCAATGGATAACTGTTTGATGGAAAATATACTAGGATTGAAATGAGAAAATTCAAAAGATCCCGGTTTCAAATCCATTGGCCTGCATTCGAAACCGACATCTCACTTTTTTTTTTAAAAATACCTCGAGGGTTGATATAACCTCTCCTGTTGCGCACCCTCGAGAAAAAAAAAACAATCTTGGGATATTCTGCGTTTCTCGTCAATTCCACTTTAACAGATTTTGACATAGTTAGTTTGAACAAGATGGTTCACGAGATTTTAACAAGTTTTGCCAAAAATCAAAAGTAATGTCTACATTTTTCACCAATTCAGTTCAGGAAATAAATATTCTGAACCGGAGAAAAAAATCAACCGACCAATCTTACCCAGTTACCGTTCATAAATCGCGAGCAAAACATTGCAAAGTATCCTTAAAGAAAAAATCCAATCAGTGAGCAAATTATTCGTCATCAAGAATTTTAGTTGCCACCGAGGTCCAAATAACTCATAGAAACTGAAGAAACGAGTTGAGCTTTGGAAATAACAGTCTACACTTCTTGAGCTAACATTAGATAAATACACTTTACTCACTATTTTTATCATATCATAGAATCTATTTTGATTGATATTATTTTTCTCTCTTTCAACTATCTAGTAATATTCACTAATTTCGTGGTCCGCTTGACCAATTAATATATTACAATTAATTAAGGTTTTTAGTTGAGATAAAAATGTATCTTATCTAGTAATATTTCATTTTTCAAAATTACAATTCAGCTACAATTTATTTGCATTTTTGAGTAGATAGTATTAGTTTAATTTTTTTTTTATGTTGGTTTTTTACTACTTCAAGTTCCATATCATTCAGTTCAAAACAGAAAACAGTTAGAAGCTCAAATATGAGCTTTATGGTTTATTTTTTATTGTATTTAATTTTATACCATAACTTTATACTAAAAGAGCATGTTCTGCAACATCTCACACATTCATATAGTATACCATATTTTACCCATTTCTTCTATGAGAAGCCATACTTTATTTTTTTTAACTAGGGTTTGCAACAGCAGAGGTTATATCAACCTTTGGGGGTGTAGGTTTTTGATGAAAGCAGTATGTCGCGTTGAAATGCAGGGCCGCTGGATTCGAACCCGGGTCCTTTAACTTACAGCGATGAGCACCGTGTCAACGTCTAAGCCGTTGCGAGCACCAACGCCCCCTGAATTTAATTATGAATTGGTTAATTTATTTTATTTTCTTTGCAGTTTTTTAGTCAAAAGGACAATTTTATTTTACGTTTTCCACAAAAAAATTTAACCTGCAAATATTACCATAAGGTGGTGTTCAAAAATTGTCNGCAGCGGCGTATCTAGCCGAAGGTCGTGGGTTCGAATCCCACTTGTGACACTGACTTTGTTACCTCAATCAATACCTTAAATACAGATGTTCAATTAATATTGCACCTTAAATATATGTGCTAAATAAAAATCAGTTAAAATTAATTTACTAGAAACACTAAACCTGAAAATTTTAATGTATTAACTTATAAATGAAGTACAAAGAAAAAACTTCACAGATGCCCAATATATGAAAAAAGAGTGAGCCCTTGTTAAATTAGTTCAAACGGAAGAAGCAATACGTATGTTTGAAGGATGGAAATAAGCGATAACATAATTCGGTCCGGTAAAAAAAAATATTAGTTGTTTGTTGTCAATTTTTTAAAAATCTAATTACATTCATTAGGGTGAAGTTTCATTAGGTGAAGTGAAGTAAAAACATAATAATGATTATTATTCATAAATCGTGAGATGCGGCCTGGTGTGATGTAGGTTTCAGAAAAACATTTTCTTTGTCGTGTCAACGTTTCGATCTTTATTGAGATCATCTTCAGACTCTCAACACGACACGCAAGAATGGCACACTTAGGCAGAAAACAAACACTTTGAGCCCTGAAGATGATCTTAATAAAGATCGAAACGTTGGCACCATAAAGAAAATATTTTTTCACACCAAACCGCATCTCACGATTTCTGAATAAACATTTTGTAGTATAAAATATATTACTTTTTTCAACGGATTTCAGTGCTTGATTTATTATTGCTAGTTCTTCTTCGATATCCTGTTCAGTCAATAAGAAATTGTACTCATGCTGGTGAGCAGCAGGTGGTGGTCCAAAGCACCAGGTTTGGACATGATCGAAAGGCCACTATTGATAGATATGCCTAGAAAATGTCTCGTACTGTTAACACAAATATACAATGGCATGCTTCGAACGGCATACTTTCCAAAAAAATGGAAAATTGCTAAAGTAGTACCTATACATAAAGCCAAAAAAGAATGGGATAAACCGACCAGTTATCGACCAATAAGTTTGTTGTCTACACTATCGAAAATCTTCGAGCCACTAATTTTTCCAAAGCTTCTAAGTTATTTAAGTCCTGTAATAGCGAACACACAATTTGGATTCAAAGCATCTCATTCTTGTCCGTGGCAACTCCACAGAGTAGGGGAAAAAATACTACAAACTTATGAGGAAAAAGTATTGTCTAGGTCTATTTATAGATACCGAAAAGGCCTTCGATCGCGTGTGGGGCCTGCTATATTATTAAAAGATTAAAAAGTTACATACTACCGGCTGGTGAAGTCTTATGTGATCGAAAGAATATTTTTTGTCAGCTATAAAGGAGCGAACTCGGATGTACACAGCATCTCAGCGGGTGTTCCTCAAGGAAGTGTTCTGGGACCCCTCCTTTACATTCTGTACGAGCATGACTTTCCAGCAGATAGCAACATCGAAATAGCCCAATTTGCCGATGACAAAGCAGTGCTGTCTCAAAGTATCACGCTCAGTGATGCAGAAACGAAGATGCAGAATTACTGCCAAAAAATTGATGATTGGGCATCCAAATGGAAAGTTAAACTGAATTCAACTAAGTCCAAACTTATTAACTTCATTTATAAGAAGACCTCAAGGCCCTCACATATAGTACTCAGTGGAACTAATGTACCTCAAGCGGACTCATATAAATACTTAGGGCTCCACTTGGACTCGCACCTCACCTGGAATAACCACATATCCTCATTCGTAACGAAAATTCGCTTGCGTATTCGCAGTATCAAACCAATTCTCTGTAGCAATTCTGTCCAAATTCCACTTAACCGACTCCTTTATCTAAGCCTAATAAAACCAATATGGTTTTATGGCTCGCCCATCTGGTGTTCTGCATCCGCCTCGCAAATAAAAAGATACAAACGCTGCAGAACCGTGTGTTACGGTTAATAACAAACGCGCCCTGGTTCGTAAGGGATGAACAGTTCCACCATGAAATATCGTTGACATCAGTAGAAGACGAACTAAAGAAGAGATACCCGATGCTGCTTGCCAAAGCTGACTCCCACCCGAATCCGGCAAGTGCACAGATTCCAGCGAATATGCCTCCACCCCGCCAACAAAGACGGCTAAAAAGAAAGCATCATACGGATTACAGATTGTAAATATGTGTTAATGTAAATAACTGCTAGTGTAAACGTGCGCCTGACGTTATATTATTATAGGTAAAAACAAAAAAGTAGGTTAATTTATTTATTAATGAGATATTTATTTATCTCAAATTATTATACTCCAGTGAATTATTGTGTGGACTGCCGTAGGGCAGGACCCACCCTCAAATGCCACGTTAATCACACTTTTTAAGTCTGCTGTATATCAGTATTTATTAGCAAAACATAATGTGTATGTGCACAAGAGTTAAATAAAATAATTTTAAAAAAAATAAATACTGGTGAATCCGGTGTCATTGTGTATGCTGGATGTATGTATCCAAGGGTAGAAACCATCAGTCTGTATTATAAATTGAATGTACTATTTTTTAAATAACATTTTTAATTTGGTTGTTACGATCATGTTGGTTTGCTTGTCAGGCGACAGAACAACACGGCAAAGATAGGCAAACCAGGATGACCGAACGACTAAACTAAAGAATTTTGGATTTTATAAAAAAAAAATACCCGTATCGTTACCAACACGTTACAAATTCATCAATCCTTGACAATTCTTCGTTAATCGTCAATCCATATTAACAGATTCGGGCATAATTAGATAGCACAAGAGTGTTTAAAAAATATGTTTTAACGGGTTCTTTTTAGCCTGTTTCGTCAAAAATTAAATGAAATATTTGGATTCTTCGCCAGTTCAGTTTAACTGGTATAAATCCAGATCTATCAAAAATAAAAATAAATAAATCAGCAGACCGTTAATTCAATATGTCATGTACATTTGGTGTATATTTTGAAAACTATAAAGGTATCTTCTATAAAATGTGAAATTGGCAAACGAAAATGAATAGATAATGAATTAATTATAAATATTTTAATGTGAAGTCTAAAATTGTCCAATAAAAATTTAAATGGATATTCTTGAAAGACCAATTTTAATTTTTTTTTTTAATTTTCTCATTTAATTCCTCGGATTTTTTTCATCTAAATTCTTCCTTGATCTTTCTGAAATCTACAAAATTACGAACTTTGTAAACAGTTTATTTTATTTATTATTTACATACATTATTAACAGTTATTGTACATTAAAAACATATTCAATGAAAATTTTTATAAAAGTAGACAATTTCAACCCCCACCCCTTTCTGACTTACCTGCGGCTATAAAAGGCGATTTTGTCCTTCTGTTTATTTTATTAACAATACAGGCTTCGGACCGACCACATCGACCGTTTTCGAAAAAAGTAAGAATACGACTTTAAATTCAATTTTAATTTTTTAATATTATATTCATTAACTAATTTACTTTGTACTCATTTTTTCAGAAAATTTCACATAAAATGCCTAGATGCGATAGAGTTAAAATTGAAAATGATTCGTGTCGAGCACATTGCCCGATTTCCCCGAAGGTAATTAATAATATGTACTTAGTTTTAGGGCTATTTATAACAACATTTTAAAATGTACTGTACTATTAAATTAATTTATTAACTTTTTTCTAGGTCATGTTCAATAAAATGCGATTAAATTATGAGGTTTACGCACCTCCGACTAGGAGGGAGATGGCCTCCCCCGAGTCGACGAGTACATCCAGCATACACAATGACACCGGATTCACCAGCATTTATGAGTACAATTTCTTATTGACTGAAGAGGAAATCGAAGAAGACCTGGCAGTAATAAATCAAGCTCTAAAATCCGAGAAAAAATAGTGCAATATATTTTATACTATAGAATGTTAACGACCTGTGATATGCTTTCACCAAATATATATTTTTTTAACTTTATAAATCCAATTGTTTTTACTGTTCCAAAGTTTTTACCCACAGATTTATTTGAACCTTGAAAACATTAATTTTTTATGGCTAGCGTGTTCGTCCGGTCATTCTGGTTTGCCTATCTTCGCCGTGTTTCTCTGTGGCCTGACACAGCCACCATAGAAACCAACATGATCGTGACGACCAAATTAAAAATGTTATTTAAAAAATAGTACATTCAATTTATAGTACCTTCTGATAGTTTTTCCCTTGGCTTCATACATCGAGCGAGTAGGTGTGCCGCCCGATATCGGACTTTGAACGCAGGTTCATTTTTGTAAAATTTTAACTTAATCGTACGTACATTAATATATCACATATTTCGCTCTCATAAAAATCCACTTTGAAGTTTGGCAGTCTCCGAAAATCTTGCTACGCCTATCCTTATATAGAAACTAAAAATACTTTTTAACCCGACCCAGGATAACCAAAACAAAATAATCGGTAATGACCAAATTACTTGTTCATCACCCGGCATGTTATCTTATGAATTATGTTATGGGTTAACTACTCGACTTAATACTTCCTTCTTAAAGTAATATACAGGGTGTCCAAGTTCCTTCTGACGAAACTCAGGGAATCGATTCTACTCATCGTTTGGAGCAAAAAATGCTCAGGAGAAAATTTTCGGAAAGTTCTTTATTTTGAAGATATTCGTCAATCTCGTGTAGAAACGTGTGGTGATTAGTGACCGTTAATCGATAATTAGTCAGAAATCGTGAGATGCGATCTGGTGTGATATAGGTTTCAAAAAAACATTTTCTTTATCGTGCCAACGTTTCGATTTATTGAGATCATCTTCAGGCCTGGGATTACAAACATTGTTTACATTTATCAAATACATTTAGGATGTGAAAAAGTGAATTTATACAAATATTTTTTTGATATTCAATCAACGTATTTCTACTCACTCACTTTTACACATCCTAAATGTATATGCTAAATGTAAACAATGTTTATAAATCCCAGGCCCTGAAGATGATCTCAGTAAAGATCAAAACGTTGGCACGATAAAGAAAATGTTGCAAATGCACGTTCTACTGAGGTTACAAAAAATTACCTACAACTTGTCAAATTTCACAAAAACTTCATCTAATATGCTTTACTTTGATATATCCAGGTTTTTAAATAACATTCTAGTAGAGTTGAAAAATAACAATTGAATGTTCGAAAACGTGAGCTAAGGTAAATTTGAAGCGGGGGGGGGTAGAAATAAATCAATTAGAACTCGCTTTGTAAAAAGAAAAGGAAAACACTTTGAGCCTTTCCTCTGAAAAGTTCCTCCTTTGTTGTCAGGTGCTTGCTACAAGAAGAACCATTGCATTTTATTGTATGAAGGTTCTGGTATGGTTTTTGTGAGATTACAGATTTGTCATTTTTATTTTACAAAGCGAGTTCTAATTGATTTATTTCTACCCCCCTTCAAATCTACCTTAGCTCACGTTTTCGAACATTCAATTGTTATTTTTCAACTCTACTGAAACGTTATTTAAAAACCTGGATATATCAACGTAAAGCATATTAGATGAAGAAGTTTTTGTGAAATTTGAAAGTTGTAGGTACTTTTTTGTAACCTCAGTAGAACGTGCAATCATGATTAATATTTTAAATTTTGTAATTTCGACATGTTCCAACTGATATTGGCTAACATTTTATGTCATTCAGATTATTGCAAAGAAGTATCTTACAGCAAATTTAGCGTTCTTTTAAATGTTGTAATTGGATTTGTTGTACTCTCCAAATTTTGGAAGTTGTAAGCGTTTTTACGTGGTAAGGTAGTGAAAAGTTGAAAAAACCTAAATTGACGAATATCTTCAAAATAGAGAACTTTCCGAAAATCCTGGGTATTTTTTGCTCCAAACGAAGAGTAGAATCGATTCCCTGAGTTTCGTCAGAAGGAACCCTGTATATAAAATTTTAAAACTGATAGAATTGTATGTAAAGTTTTATTAATCCCGGTAGAGTAGGTTTCATAATGATAGGATTTGTTGCCTTGGCTTCATACAAGGAGCAAGTAGGCGCTCCACCCGATGTGAAAACNATTCGAACCCACGACCTTCGGCTAGATACGCCGCTGCTCTACCACTTGAGCTATCGTGACCTCGATCCACTAGGACACTAACTTCCCATCTCAACCTCACCTTTTGAATTTTCCCTCCTTTTTGCCAATTTTTAAATGTCGTGTAATCTATTTGATTCTCGGAGACAAATGAAATGGCCACGGTACCTTAAATATAGATTAATTGATCGAAAGATATTATTTGTTCAATGGGACCACGAAAACTATTGAATTAAATTAACAATCCAATTTTTATAATGTTCACTTTTACTTTCCGCAAGATAAATTGAATGTATGATATTGAAGATATTGGGAAATTTCCATCAAAGGGCAAGTAGGCATGACAATGGATATAGTATTCTTGGTCACCTTCGGAAAGCGGCATCAGTGGAAAGGGATTAAAAGTTGAATAACAAAGCCTACCCTTTGCCCGAGGTAAAGGGTTAAGAAAAAGTCTACCTGTCTTAATCGCGGTTTAATCCCTTTTTCGTTGCGCATCAATGGCGTGTTTCCCGTCCAGGTAATCTGGTTGGAAGGTATTCATCTTCTATCTACACTGTATTACTTGCACCTTATAAACGTACGTATGCAATATACATATGTGGGTACTACAAATGTATTATAACGACTTATGCTGAAAACGAAAGAATTTTTTGATCTGATACATTGTAAGAAAAATTTTAAATCATAATATATAATTACCAAAGGGAGGATGAATGGACAGTCAGGAGATCAATAGTAGGTTCGAGATCAAAGATGTGGTCATCTAAGACAATTAAGTTTTGTAACTTACCCCAAGCTTTCAAAATATATTGAGGTCTTCATCATGCTATAATATTATTATTAACATTGTATTATTTTATTTTTAATATTGTGACGTTATCCATTGTTATCTGAGAAATGTTGTATTACTTATTATTTATTAATGATAAACGTTTATTTGAGCTCTGATGAAGATCTCAATAAAGGCTGAAATCTTGACGTAAGCTACAAAACTTTCTTGTTTTTGATGACTGCATCCCTGATCTCGAACATACTATAAAATATAATTGCTATTGAGAAAAATTTATCTAAATTTATTTAATGTTACATATCTTTTATAAATACAATTATATACTATAAAGACAATATTTATTTNCGATAAAGAAAATGTTTTTCTGAAACCTACATCACACCAGACCGCATCTCACGATTTCTAAATAAATATCGATTAACGGTCACTAATCACCACACATAAATGTGAGCGTTAACGTCACATGTGATAGACAATTATTAAAAAATAAATTGTAAATTGAAGAGCATTGATCGGTGATATATTTTTGTTAAATTTTAATTTGATTTGAACATTGAAGCGACAAAAATTTAAATTTTTTAAATGATTCTATACATGTACATCAAACTATCTTGTTTGTTTTATTCTTAAATCAAGATCATTTGGATTGCAAAGGAATAAATATAAGTCTAGGAATTGAAGGTAAATTTGTGTTTAGATATCAAAAAATTTACTTAGTCGGAAAATAATGTTATATCCTTTGTATTAAAAACTTTTAACTTATTATTTTACATATGTATATTAGATCATTTTGACCATTAAAACTCTTTTATAATCAAATAATTATTAATCAACCCACGAAATAGCAGTTATTTAATTGTATTTTACTTACGGGAGTACAAATGCTTCGGGTTTTTTTCTTCTATCTTTATACCAAACTGGTTATTCAGATATCGTGAGATGCGGTCGGGTGTGATGTAGGTTTCAGAAAAATATTTTCTTTATCGTGCCAACGTTTCGATCTTTTATTGAGATCATCTTCAGGGCCCAAAGTGTTTGTCTTCTTTGTAATTGTGCCATCCTTGCGTGTCGTGTTGAGAGTGGATCCGACACCCAAGGATGGCACAATTACACAGAAGACAAACACTTTGAGTGAGTAGAAATACTTTGTTTGAATATAAAATATATTTTGCATTGTATAAATTCACTTTTCCACATCCTAAATATAATTGTTAAATGTAAACATTGTTTGTAAATCCCAGGCCCTGAAGATGATCTCAATAAAAGATCGAAACGTTGGCACGATAAAGAAAATGTTTTTCTGAAACCTACATTACACCCGACCGCATCTCACGATATCTGAATAACTATCGATTAACGGTCACTAATCTCTACACGTTTATACCAAACGAACGTTTGTAAACATAAAATAAAACTATTTTGCCTTTATTACCTCATTTGTAGGTGGTGTACGCAGTTTTTGAGAGAAAAAAGGCAAGTAGTCAATTAAAACAATGGTTAGTTTACAGTTTTTATTTACATGTCAGAATGTAAAATTCGCAATTTATCCACGTGATGATATTAACAGTTTTATTCAACACATCTGGATGCCCTCGGGGTTGATATTTATACGTTTTATTTTAACCCACAATTTTTCGATCTAGTAGAAATCCACTTTCCTTTTGTTTAAAAAAAAAACTCAAATAGAACAAATAAATATATTAGAGATGGTTATACATAACTAGCGTTTAGCTATCGTGTAACAGTTAAAACCACTTTGTACATGTTTCACTTTCATTTTTCCACCGCTTCCAAGGCTTTTCTTATCACAGCTAAATCCTCAGCGATTTCTTCGTCTGTAAGCATGAAGTTGTATTTGTAAATGTTGTTGTAATGGTCTTTTCTGTTCGGCCTGGAAGTCCTCCTCGTCCTGGAGGATGGCGTATCTTTGCCAGATGTCGATGGCGAGTCAATCTTGGTGATCTCCGGCATTTCGATCTGGCCTGTGGAAATGAGGAGGAACTGAAAAAAAATTGTAAAAATAAAATCGTAGAATTAATATTTATTTGAAATCGTGAGATGCGGTCTGGTGTGATGTAGATTTCAGAAAAACATTTTCTTTATCGTGCCAACGTTTCGATCTTTATTGAGATCATCTTCACAGAAGTCAAACACTTTGAGCCCTGAAGATGATCTCAATAAAGATCGAAACGTTGGCACGATAAAGAAAATGTTTTTCTGAAACCTACATCACACCAGACCGCATCTCACGATTTCTAAATAAACATCGATTAACGGTCACTAATCACCACACTCGTAGAATTAATTTTAATGTATGTACATTTCATATTAAAGTGTGTGTGGTGTTTAGTGACCGTTAATTAATGATTATTCGGAGATCTTGAGATGCCGTCTCGTGTGACGTAGGTTTTAGAAAAACAAAGATCTTTATTGAGATCATCTCCAGGGGTCAAAGTGTTTGTTTTCTGTGCATGTGTGTCAGTACTGTGTGTCGTGCTGAGAATGCACGATCTCCAAATTTGCATATTAAAATTGGCTTTATATTTTCCGATTTAAAGAAGCAGGGATCGAGAAGGAAACAAGATCCATTGACAACTTTGAACGAGTGACTTACAAAGGCGGAAGGGGATTTTTCTATGAAACCGTTTAAATTTAATAAACTAACATATGGAGTCGGCTTCTTTGAGGTGAAAACAAGAAGCCTTATACAAAAATGTTTTTTCTATACCAACTTCCTTCCGCGTCCCTTCAAAATCCAACGTATATAAACATAAAACAGCAATATCTCACTGGCACTCTCAACAACACACGCAAAAATGGCACACATACGATGAAAACAAACACTTTGAGTGAGTGAAATACTTTGATTGAATATAAAAAAATATTTGTTTGCATTGTATACATTCACTTTTTTTCGACATGTATTTGTTAAATTTAAACAATGTTTGTAAATCCCAGGTCCTAAAGATGATCTCAATAAAGATCGAAACAATTAATTAATTTACTTCATTTTAAATCATTAAATTCACTAATTTCGTGGTCCGCTTGACCAATTGATACATTACAATTAATTAAGGTTTTTTAGTTGAGATAAAATTTTGAAAAATGGCATAAAGGAGGGAAAATTCAAAAGGTGAGGTTGAGATGGGAAGTTGGTGTCCGAGTGGATCGAGGTCACGATACCTCAAATGGTAGAGCAGCGGCGTATCTAGCCGAAGATCGTGGGTTCGAATCCCGCTCGTGCCATTGACTTTTTTATCTCAACTAAAAACCTTAATTAATTGTATGATATTACTTGGTCAAGCGGACCACGAAACTAGTGAATTTTTAGAGAATGTTATTAATTGGAATCAGTGCGATACAATTTATTTTTGTTGTGGTTTAATCTGACTGGCATTGAACAAAGTGGGACCTCGCTTGGCGGGCATATGAGGTCCCTGGCTTCTGAGCCATCCAATAATTTATTTGTTTTCTTTAGGCAGGATGAAACTCCCAAAGTGTAGTTTACAAATTTCCCCCCAGGATCATGCATTCTGGTACAAAATGGAGAACCTCCACGGCACGTCCACAACGCGCTACCGGAAGCGATTCGAACAATGACAATCCCTCAAGGCTATCTTCGCTTAAATTAAACATACTTTTTTAAGGAGATTGTAAATCAACTAGATTTTTGTCACTACAAAACCTTCGCAACGGTGTTGGCTGATAACCTATAGATAAGAGCTTTTAGAATAAAACTAGTCCAACATCCGACGTTTTCCTTCCTGAAAGGTCAATATTTCCTCTAAAAAAAGACGCTGTAGGAACAAGGAAAAGTGTGAGTTAATAATCTCGGTGGCTGTGATTTTGGTTATTCTTATTTCATGGAAACAAACAGGGGCTTTGGACGACGAAAAATGAAGTTTTAGGGTAAAAATAAAGATCGGGTCTGCTGAGGTGCATCAAATTTCGTTTCCGCTTTCATACAATCTGTTTATAACTATTTAAATACTCAGCAAAGCACCAAGCACTATTTTTATCTGAACTTTCTCATCGCAACTTTTGAAATTCAAAACCGGTATAGATACGTAGCTGTATAAAAGGTTCAGTCAACGTAAACAATTATAAAAACAAAATATCAATAAAAGGATTAATATTGTTGAATAAGGATTTAAAAGTTTACATGCAAGGGGAATACCGTAGAAACAGTAACAAACCATCTTTCAAATTGATGAAATTCCATGGACCTACCTACGGCGAAGTGCCGGAACAAATCTGCCAGGCCGAACCGCGGCTCTCGGCAGATCAAAATGACCAGTAACACCAAATTGCAGGTTTATCACCCGGCGGACCGCACGGAAATATCCCACAAATTTCATAAAGTTCAAACAATTATGAAAATTTTACACCAAAACTAGTGTCGTGAGTAAAATGGCGTTTTTTTATAATTAGGGGGACTTTATTTTTGTTTTATTTATTTATTAAAAAAAAAACAAAAAAAACACGCGATTCAAAATTCCCTCTTTTTTTGGTTTTGCAAAACTGTGTGTAAAGCCCAAACCAAAACATCCGCTGTCGGTCAAAACGTTCCATTTATTTCTTTAAGATTCTTATGAAATGTTTTAACAAATTCTTTCCAAAATGTGCATCCGAACGGGACTCGAGTCAAATTTTGTTGGAATATTCAATTTATAATGAAGAATCGAACTCGTAAGTTTTATAACATAAAAAAACATTTAAAAAAGTTAGCGGGTTTTAATATTGTTTTACTACGATTTCAAACTAAAAACTATTCCTGTCGAAACACGGACGAACTTTATAATACATCATTTGATGTATTTATATAAAATTTCATTCACCCCCTCAAAAAAATCACATGATCAATCATGTAAAAGTGAAAATGATCTACTTACGTGGTTCCGTAGGCCGCACTGTGCGTGCGATTCCCCAGAACGGTCCTTAGACAATTCCTTTTTATGCCAGCAGATCCGTACCAGTTTCTGACAAAACGTCCGACATATTTTTATCAAAATTCAATTGAAATGAAAGGGCTGGATTTTTCGAGTCTAGTGGAAAAATGGAATTAAAAAAAAAATGTTTTCGAAACCTTACTTAACCCTTGACAGTCCCTTTGCGCAGGGCCAATGCCGGTATGAGCGCATTCATTCATCTCATGATTTCAGTAAATTTCCTCGGAGATCTTTTTTTTTCGGCTGTGAATTCCTAGAATGACGATATAAATTATGCGTCTGTTTATTTATTTATGTTTAATGCGAAGCGTTTCTCGTGATGTACTAAATGCCATAGAAAAGGCTTAAACTCCATTAATGTTACTCCTCCCAGTTCTCTCTTTTATGTCAACAATTTAACGAATGTTCCTGCCTTTTAATAAACATGCGTTTAATGATATTTTTAATACAAGTAATTAGCACGTATCCAAGGCGTATTATGTAAGGTATAAAATGAATTAAACTGGAATAAAATAAAGAAGCACGCAGCTTCCAGGCCGAAAGTAGAATTAACAAAGTTTAAACCAAATCAAGTACTAGAAATTCAACATATCCAACAATTTAGTCATAACTGTCATTAATAATTTTATTATCTAAGTTGATGAAGATCGTTTAAAGTTGTTTGGCTGGAAAGTTTTTTTATAACAATCCCTTACGCCTGGAAAAGAGACTAAATCCAAGATGGCGTAAAGCCGAAATATGGTTAACACTCGAGATTAAACGGATCAATCTGATTAGCTACGTCTAAATAAAAATTATTCAACTAAACAACACAAATTCTTTGTCGAGGTTTTCATTTCATGGTTAATATGAATAAATACTGTTGGAGAAAACGCCATCTTGTAGCAGACTTTTTCTTGTTATGTTTGACTGTTCATTTCTTTCTTATTTTTTGTTTTTCTAACGTAAATTATAGCTTTTTCACGTTTATATCTCACTAGAATAGACTAGCGTTCAATCGCAAAAGATGAACAAATGTCTGATGAACATATGAGCCGGTTTGAAATTGATAAAAATAAAACATGGTAAAAATTTTAAACTCTCATTAGTTAAATTGGATCGTATTTAGTAGTCTAATCTAGGGAAAATAAATTATTTTAAATGGATCCAAATGTAACGTTCGAGCAAGTGGCTCTGCTGGTCGCGGAGGCGGTCGACTGCATGCAGAAGCGAAAGGGTGTCACAATCAGGAAAGTAACCAACTATGTTGCGCAGAGGACTGGTCTGGAAAAGTCGAAAAAGCTTGTTTCCCTTACGAAAAAAGCACTCAAGTTATTTTTGAGAAGAGGTGGATTAGAAAAGAACGAACGGAGGTATCGTTACATGAAGGTGTCTCGTAACAGCATGTATCGAAAATATTGAAATCGTCTTGTACTTCTGTCCACCATTTTTCTGTGCGCTCATCTCTATGGATAATCCTTTTTTTTAACTTTGATGTTCTGATTTTACTATTTTATGTTCAATAAATATTTAATTTATTAAATCTGTTCGTAATGACTGAAACCCTTACAAGACCTAAACTGTGCTGATTTTTCTGTCAGACGACTTTGGAAATATTTATCGAAAAACATGGTTGTACAATGTAGCTAAGCTTGATGGATCCAAATATTAGGACCAATATTTTGAAATAAAGGACATGATTTTATGGTAATTATTGAAACTTGAAACTGACTCTCTCTCTCTCTCTCTCTCTTTCACTCACTCACTCACTCTCACTCTCTTCTATCTCTTTCCCTTTTCCTTTCATACTTTCTCTCTCTCACCCACTCACTCTCTCTCACTCTTTTCTATCTCTTTCCCTTTCACACTTTTCACTCACTCACTCACTCTCACTCTCTTCTATCTCTTTCCCTTTTCCTTTCATACTTTCTCTCTCTCACCCACTCACTCTCTCTCACTCTTTTCTATCTCTTTCCCTTTCACACTTTCTCTCTCTCCCCCTTCCTCTCACCCTCCTTCCTATCATTATTTTTTCTTCCTATGTCACATACTTGTTTTCTTTCTTACAATCTTTCTGATTTTTTCTTTCTATCTCTACCTTTCTATTGATTTAAGAGCTTCTGTTCCACATCCGTCCTCTTTTATTCTCTTTCCCTTTTATAATTATGCTTCATCTAACTACTTCCTTTCCGCCTAGCTTTCTTTTTCTCTCGTAATCGTTGTTTCTTCTTTTTAGCTTACATGCCCACTAGTTTTCTTTGCTTCTTAGTTTAGATCTTTCTTTAACTCTCTATACTTTTTTAACTTCTCCTAACTTCTTTTCTTCTACCTTAAAAAAAAGAAAAAGTAGAAGAAAAGGAAATAAAAACAAGTAAAAGGTAGAAGAAAAGGAAATAACGTGAAAAATGTAGAAATTTAAAGAAAGGTCTTTTAATAAGATAAACGACAAAGTTTCATAAAAAGGACGATATATAGGGGCCATTTTTTCAAAAAGTCCATTCATATTCCAACGTATACTGGAAATCCCGCAGGCTGCACCTGGTCGGGTATCTAAGAAGGGACAGCTCGGGCCTTTTTAATCCGGTGTTAAAGGATTACGGGATTTGTAACTGAGGCCCTTTTGAAGGCATCAGGTCAACGTTCTTAAACCTTTTTATGAAATTAGAAAGTGATATTAAACTTCGATTACAAAAGAAGTGACATCTACCTTTACACGAGCCTATTTATTTTTCGCTACGTTTTAAAAAAGTAGAACAATTAATAATGTAAATATAAATCAATAAAATTATGAGCAACTAAAATCTGATGTACCGACTAACCAGATTCAACTGCTTTCAACTACCGGAAAAGTCTTCTAGTTTAAACTTTCTATGTATTTATTTTTTTAGTGTTTTTTATCATTTTACAATTCGGAAGTACTTTTTACTGTATGAGCTAATAGACACAAACTAGGATGTTCGGAAACGATTCACCTACTCAAGACTGAAAAAGTCTTATAATTTAGACATTTTGCTTACTTTTTTATTTGATTTTTTCTAATAGTTTTTATTATTTTAAATTTCAAAAGTACTTTTTATTGTATATGCTAATAAACAGAAGCAAGGATGTTAAGGGGCAATTCACCTTTTTATTTTGTTTTTTCTAATTTTATTGTATAAGCTAATAAACAGAAGCTAGGATGTTAAGGGGCAATACACTTTTTTATTTTGTTTTTTCTATTTTTTATTATTTTAAATTTCAAAATTACTTTTTATTGTATATGCTAATAAACAGAAGCTAGGATGTTAAGGGGCAATTCACCTTTTTATTTTGTTTTTTCTAATTTTATTGTATAAGCTAATAAACAGAAGCTAGGATGTTAAGGGGCAATTCACCTTTTTATTTTGTTTTTTCTAATAGTTTTTATTTTAAATTTCAAAAGTACTTTTTATTGTATATGCTAATAAACAGAAGCCAGGATGTTAAGGGGCAATTCACCTTTTTATTTTGTTTTTTCTATTAGTTTTTTATTATTTTAAATTTCAAAAGTACTTTTTATTGTATAAGCTAATAAACAGAAGCTAGGATGTTAAGGGGCAATATACCTTTTTATTTTGTTTTTCTAATATTTTTTATTATTTTAAATTTCAAAAGTGCTTTTTTTTGCATAAGCTAATAAACACAAATTAGGATATTCAGGAACGATTTACCTGCTCAAAACTGAATAAGTCCTATAACTTAAAACTTTATGGTTTCTTTATTATTTTATTTAATTTTTTATAAAAAATTTTATTATTTAAAATTTCAAAAATACTTTTTATTGAATAAGCTAATAAATACAAACTTGGATTTTAAGGGACAATTCACCTGCTCAAGCCTGAATAGGCATTATAATTCTGAATTGCTTTGTCTATTTTGAAAGTTGGATTTTTTATTTTGAAACTAATAGAAAGATACAAAGCTTAAGGGAGTTCAAGCTAAAAGCGAGAATAGGCGGACCGCGTAGGACAGGTTAATATGCATTTCTGTTTAATTTTCACAACCCAAATCAGCCTACGATAAACGTTGTATTTAAAGAGCTCGTTTTGTTTTCATGCATAATTTTTATATTATCAACTGTTCGAAACAGTTGAAAATTGTGAAATTCGAAAGAAGTCAGCTTGAATCTTAAATAATAACATATGAAAGCACAATTTATTTATGGGGACTTTTATTTTAGGAATGGAAAATAGCCAAGTGATATTTCGCGTCTGCCTTCCAAGCACATCACGTTTTTGACAGGGCCACAGTGTTAACAATCGGTCGTAAAATTTGTTCAACGACATGCTCTAACGGATGACTCAGGATGGGATCGTCTTACTCATCTTCGCCTTCCCAGGGGTGGATATTTATCGAGTGGAGGAAGTGGAGGAACTTTTTGCACTTTCTCAGCTTGTACCTCAGCTTGTTCCTCACGATAAAACCCCGCTTTAGGAAGTTCTTGAGAGCTTTTTTCACCTCGGCGATCGTCCTCGGCGTCACTTCCAAGCTACTCTCGGAAATCAGATATCTCATTATCTTCGGGTAGGTGACGCCCTTTTCCTTCTCGAGGATCTGGATCGTCTTGGCGACCATCCAACCGACGTATAAACGCCGAGACATCGCCTGGAATTTTGAGTGCCCTTATTTGTGAGAAATTAAAAAAAAATTTTGAGTTTTCTATATCCGAATCTATTTTAACATCATATGATTTTCTCTTCTGTATAGGTGAATAAAATAATTACCTTTTCAGCCCATTTTCATCTCTGAAATATGAGATGATGTGGAATAGTCCTTGTCCTAGTTCAGATAGTCCTTTTTTGTTTTTATTTGTATTAACAAATCGTGGAAAGACGAATAAAAACAAAAAAGGACCAGCAGAACGTTTTCTTATCTCGCACCGTATTAATCTAAGCTGTATTCAAAGCCAAAACATCTTTTTATTTATTAGATACCTACATTAATACAAATAAATACTAATACCCAGGACAAGTGGAAGAAAAAATCAAGGAAGTTCGATTTTGTATTTTTCACCTAGCATTTTTGGCCATTCCATGATTTTTATTTGATAATTTGAATGATATGAAAAAAGTAATTATAGAATTATGACCTTTCTTCTGCAACACACAGGTAGTATGATATGAAGATGTGGATATGTATACATTTGACTTAAAAAGCCTATTATAGACTTTTGTAAGTCTGGTTCCTGGAGATTTTACTCCTCAAGCCAGATATATTATGGTTTGACCCTAATTTATGCCCACGCTTTGAAAAATGCGTTCACTTTTAGGCATTTGATCGGTTTAATATGCCTTCGTGAAAGATTTAACGTTTTGATCTGTAAATATTGACTCTCTTTGAAATAAAATTCACCAGTATCGGATATGTGGTTTCAAAATTATCTTAAAAATAATTTACAAATTATTCGTTCTTCCCTTTCTTTGGAATTTCTTGCTTTTTCTGGCCTCCCACAGGGTTCTCACTTAGGACCGCTATTGTTTCTTTTATTCATTGACATTATTGATTCTTTCATTTGTTATGTTTTTCTTCTATTTGCAGATGATCTTAAAATTTATTATGAATTTTGAGTGCTCAGAACATAATTCTCTTACAAAAGTTTCGGTAATAATGCGTTGTTTTCATAAAAATAATTGTAATATAAACGCTTCAACTTCTTTCTATAGTGTCTCTTAAATCACTCTGTTCTTCTTATAATATTAATTAGTCGAATTAATAATCTTAATTAATTGTAATATATTAATTGGTCAAGCGGACCACGAAATTAGTTAATTTAATGATTTAAAATGAAGTATACTTCACTAAAAGCTCTCCGTGGCCATTTCATTTTTCGTCGAGAATCCAATCTGATCATCTTGAAAAATGTCAAAAAGGAGGGAAAATTCAAAAGGTGGGGTTGAGATGGGAAGTTGGTGTCCGGGTGGATCGAGTTCACGATGGCTCAAGTGGTAGAGCAGCGGCGTATCTAGCCAAAGATCGTGGGTTCGAATCCCGCTCGTGCCATTAATTTTTTTATCTCAACTAAAAACCTTAATTAATGTAAAATATTAATTAATATTGTTTTAAATGTCAATTACATTAAAGACTTAGGAGCCAAGTTTCAGACCAATATGTCCTTTTCATTACATATTTCATCGATAGTAAATAAATCCGAAGATATGATGTTTGTTGATCGACCTGCAGATAATCTATGTGGAGTTTCAATCTTCATGGAGGTCATTAGACAGGTGAAGAAAGGAAAAGACTAATTGTTGAGTTCACCAAACTTTCGGCAACTTACAGTACCATCATCAGGGCCTATTTATTAAAAATTAAAAAATATAAAAATAAATAATATAAAATTAACAGTTAACAAAATAAAATAATGTACATACTTTCCCAAGAGTGCAGAAAACGATTAACATGGTAAAACTATTGTAAAAACTTCTTGGGTTTAAGGTTATGAAGCACATGGCCAGCAAATTACATTTAACAAGTGAAAACGCAAATTGCGACTGTGACCGAGAAACATATGCCGACTCGGAACATGTCATATTAACATGCCCCCAGCAGAAACAAAGGTAGAGAGGAATTATATGAGAATTTAAGAAAGCACGGAGTAGTGTTCCCAACAAATATATTGCGTGACACAAAAAATATTCCAGTATTTGACAGTTTAATAACCTTTATAAAAAATAATGACATCAAAATATAAAAGACAACAACATTTAGAAAGAAACATAGTAAATTCTATAGACTGCGGAAAACAGGAAGGAAAATGCATGGCCGAGGGGGAAAAAAAGGATGAAAACAGTCATCTATATAAAATTATAAATAATTATTAATATACACTATTTAAATTAACAAAAACAATAATTTATAATAAAATTTAATAGTACCTAATAAAAATCCATATGATTGTGGTTCAACAATTTTGTTCTGACTAGCAATTTCTTATAGGTAACATTTATGATCACAGAGTATTTTGACAAGAATTATCCTATAAAGACAGGATTAACGTTAATGAGAGAGAGGGAGTTAATCCTGTGTACATAGTCTATAAATAGCAATAATTCTAGTCAAAATATTCTGTGATCATAATTGTTACCTATAAGAAATTGCTAGTCAGAACAAAATTGTTGAACCACAATCATATGGATTTTTATTAGATACTGTTAAATTTTATTATAATTTATTGTTTTTGTTAATTTAAATAGTGTATATTAATAATTATTGATAATTTTATATAGATGACTGTTTTCACCATGTTAAATGTAATTTGCTGGCCATGTGCATCATAACCTTAAACCCAAGACGTTTTTACTATAGTTTTACCAAGTTAAACGTTTTCTGCACTCTTGGGAATGTCCTGATGATGGCACTGTAAGTTGCCGAAAGCTTGGTGAACTCAACAATTAGTCTTTTCCTTTTTTCACCTATCTAATGACCTCCATGAAGTTGAAACAACATGTAAAATATATTTTATTGTTATTCATGAGTTACTATATCGATTGGTTATATCATCACTAACATATTTGATCAAATCTCCAAGCCAATGATTTAAGTAATTTATCAAAGATGATTATAGCTAAGTGGCAATTATATTATATTGTGTTGTTTTACAAGATATTTATTAGTCCACAGCAGATTAGGGCCACCACAAGTCTCTATTGAAGAGAAGGTTTGGTCAACTGCAATGTACGATGGCTAGTGATGATCATTTTATTGCTCTTACCGCACTATAAACCACCATTTAATGACTGTAGGTAGTCATATCCAAATGGTTTGTAATGTAAAAGTGAGCTCTAAACGCCATCAGAAGGCTTCGTGAGAAAAGCCTAGTCTCTAGATGTACTGCATCAGATTTTCTATTACTGAAGAGGCATCGAGTAGAATGGCGATATTCATAAATCATCGTTTGGACTCTTGAATAATAGGTGGCAGTTCCCATCACAGATGAGTGCCGGTTTGGTTCGAGGCAATCAGATGATCAGGATGTGGAGAAAACTTTGCTTTATGTTCTATGCATAAGTCACAGCCTTTTTAAAGACAGTTATGATGACTGTACCGCCATGATTAACATAATGGATCTTTGAAGTTTGACTACACTAAGGAATTGAGAAAGTTCTAGAATTTGTGGGCCCATCTGTCCACCTTAAGAGGTTTATTAAGAGCAAAACCGAGTAATAAATTGTTAGTTAAATTATAATTTATCATAATGATCATCTATCTGATTTTCTAGTGTTTTGGTGAATTTTATTTCAAACCATCATAATAAAATAATTTTTATTAAAACTTGAATTTATGTCTTTAATTTGTTTTACATTAAAATTAATGTTTGTAATTAATACAATGATAAAAAAAACCATATAGTTTAATAAACATCAAAATATGAGTGTCCGTCTTTGAGTGCATGTTCTAATGTATATTTCTTGGGCAAAATATTAATGTGAATTCACTAGTTTCGTCGTCCACTTGACCAATTAATATCATACAATTAATTAAGGTTTTTAGTTGAGATAAAAAAGTCAATGGCACGAGCGGGATTCGAACCCACAATCTTCGGCTTGATACGCCGCTGCTCTACCACTTGAGCTATCGTGACCTCGATCCACTCGGACATCAACCTCCCATCTTTACATGGGACATCTAAACATTTGAAAAATGGCAAAATGGAGGGAAAATTCAAAAGGTGTGATTGAGAAGGGAGGTTGGTGTCCGAGTGGATCGAGGTCACGATAGCTCAAGTGGTAGAGCAGCGGCGTATCAAGCCGAAGATCGTGGGTTCGAATCCCACTCGTGCCATTGACTTTTTTATCTCAACTAAAACCTTAATTAATTAATGTAAATGTTTCGTTTACTTGTTTGTAGTTTAGATATGAAAAGGAAAAGGAGTGGGGAAAATAAATAAATAAATAAAAATTGTATTGATTTTTTTTTCCTAACAAGTGTACATCGAAAGAGAACTTTTGTCAACTGTAATATACATTCATATATATTCATATTTAAAAATAAGTTCATCAAATTAAAATGGCTTTCTACTTTAGTAGAAATTAAAAATACTGAAAATGGATTAAAAACGTTATCAATGTTCACCAAAACAATTGAATGACACAGACTATGTTTGTTTTTTTTCTTTCGGTTAATGTCATCGTATTTACATCAGAGAATATGTACAAGTTGTTCACATAATAAATATGTATTTATCTTCAAATTTAAGTCAAAGGGGTGATATATTTAAAAGCGTTTTTTGTTTTCTATCAATGAAGGTGTTCAAGATATATGCCTTTTGTATTTACAATTATATACAACATCTTGAAAGTATAAAATTTAAAATGAGACTTGGAAAATCCAAAATCATACTATTTGATCACTTATTGTCTATCTATGAAGACGTGATTATAAGATTTGGAAAGTTCAACTAATTGAATTTTTTCCCCCTAATTTGAAGATCTAGAGTTTGAGCATCAGTTCAATTTGAATTTCCTAGAAGCGTAGATGTGGTTTGTATTTTATCATATGCCTGGGAAAAAAACAAACAAACAAGAAAATAATTAATTCTGTTTATGAATTGTGAATAATTAAGAATATATATTATTATTATTATTACTTGTCTAATTTTTCCCAGAAGACCATAAGCGCAGCTCTATCCAAATGCCGTTTTGTTCTTGAAAGCTGAAGCACACAAACTGCCCATCGTCCTACGTTGTTGTCCAATTTCATTTCATCATATTTCAAATGAAAGGCGCAAACTGAAAAAAAAAAATTTTTTAAAATTAGCGGTGGATGTTGGTCTGCAGGTATGTTAAATCACTTGATCGCTCCAATGAGTTTTTTGCAGGTTTAGATGTAACTCAAATGCATTTTAAGTGACAATTGGTTTAATAAAAAATAAAAATCAGTCAATAAAGGGGTTGATCTTACTTTTTGAAAATATCTCCACTGGGTTTCCGCCCCACGGCCAGCCCTTAAATTGCCAGGCGGGCCCCATAACAAAAACCGCGACCACTCTGTCCCAATCGGTCTGACTCAATTTCCCAGGATTGTCGATGACCCTGTATGGAACTGTGAGATTTCCGTCCTTTCTCCTTTGAAGTAACACTTCATTGGCTCTTTTTTCACCGAGTTTTCTTTTCTCTTCAGTACTTACATATCTGAATAATAATTATAATTAATAAAATAATTCTTACTTTACTACTAAATAATTGTTAATCTGGCTTACTTTAAATCCTGAAGAATTTCTTTAGCGTTATACATAGTAATTAAAGAGGTATTTGCCGAAGGAATAACTATAATGGGTGTTCTAGAGACACGCTTAGTCTGTTGTACAGAAGCGTTCAGTCTTGCCTGTAAAAATTAAATCGATTAAAATGTGTGTAAACCTTTAAATTACACTGTGTAAAAATTGAAATACCTGTGCAGTAGAAACAAGAGGACTAGGAGTAGTTTGAGGAGTCTGTTGAGGCTGTTGCTGCTGCTGCTGGTTATGCTGGAGCGCTGGCATGGCTGGTGTCTTTTTCGGCTGATTGCCTTCGGTCACTGATTTAAGAGTCATGCCGTGATATGTACCCATAGTATCAATTTTAAATCCCTCAGTCTCTATAAAAAGATTGCAAATATATTAAATAAACCATCATTTTTTAAATTAGTCTTTCTTAAAATTACACTTTATTACCAGGAAAAGCATTTTATTATAATTTACCTTCTCTTTGACGGATGAAACGTTCTTGATCGTACCGGTTATATACAGCTGGTTGAGGCACAGTTTTAATCGGATTGGTCCTAGGTGTAACAACAGGGGTTGGCTGCGGTGGCCTGTGACGTCCGTCTTCTCTAGCCTTGACGGTTTGCAGTACTGCAAAAACATTTTTTGCAAACAGCTGCAAAAGAAAAGTTCGAACCGTTATAAATGCAAAATTGTCAGATTTCTCCTTGAGATTTTGGGGGTTGACAGTCATCCTGGCCTGCTTTTGCCATCTTCAGTGGTGTAGGTTTATGGCATTTTTATTTAGTTGAGTACCTTTTATATTACGTACAGTGCTAAATACCAAAACAAGTCACCAAATTAGCAATGATACACAGATCAGGATGATCAGATATTAGCACCTTTTATTGGGTTGTCCGGAAAATAATGCAGGATTTTGGTATTAAACAAAAAAAAAGAAACTAGTTACTTTAAAGCAATGTTCTTTAATCAAAATAACTCTCAATACATTTCTCCCAACGTGTTGGTAACTTATTAATTCCGTCTGAGTAGAATTCAGAATTTTTAGAATTGATAAAGTCAATAAATGCATTTTCCAGTTCCGTTTGATTTTTGAATATTATGTGTTGTAAGTAGTGGTCCAGGTGTCTAAAAAAATGGTAGTCAGTAGGCGAGAGGTCCGGAGAGTAGGGTGGGTGAGGCAAAGTTTCATAGCCAAGCTCCAATAATTTTTGTGACGTTACACGTGACACATGTGGTCGAGCGTTGTCATGCAACAAAATGGGCCCTTTCCGATTGACCAAAGAGGGCTTCATTACTGCCAATTTCTGATGCATGGTATTAATTTGGTTACAGTATGATTCAGCATTGATGGTTTCGCCAGGATTTAAGAAGCTGTAGTGTATTAAACCAAATGAAGCCCACCATACCGTAACCATTACCTTTTTTTGATGAGTTGGGGGCTTTGGAAAATGTATTGGAGCTTCTCCTTTGTCGAGCCACTGTCCAGAACGTCTAGTGTTATCGTAGAGAATCCACTTTTCGTCACATGTAACAATTCTGGCCAGAAATGGGTCATTTTTGTTTCGACAAAGAAGTGATGCACAAACATCAAAGCGCTGATTTTTTTGGCGATCGTTTAATGAGTGTGGAACCCAATTTTCGAGTTTTTTCACTTTTCCAATCGCCTTGAGGTGGTCAGCGACGGTCGTTTTACTGACTTTGAGTTGCTCTGCAAGTTCTCGAACAGTTGTTTTGGGGTTTTCTTCCACCACTGATCGCAGAACATCATCATTAAGAGAGGAAGGCCTTCCACGACCTTCTTCATCTTCAAGGCTGAAATCTCCCTCCCGAAATTTTTTAAACCACCTTTGCACAGTGCACTCATTAACACAACCCTCGCCCCAGACTTGGTTAATGTTTCTAGCCGTTTGGGCTCCGCTTCGGCCGAGTTTAAACTCGTAAAAGAAAATCGTACGAAATTCTCGCTTTGACATTATAAGGATGACTGAATTATTTCCAAGTAGCGGAATGCTACAGAGGTAAACAAACAATATCATTTGGAAGAGGATTAATAAGTGTTGACATTCATACAAATGAGTAATCCTGTAAACGTAAACAGAATATTTTATATAGATTTTTTTTAATGAAAACTTAAAATCCTGCATTATTTTCCGGACAACCCGATATAAATCAAATTTAAAATTTTAACTGGACCAAGTTTAAACTCACCTTTCCCGTGCTCTGAAGAATGGTTGTTCTTGTCCTCCACTGGCGCTCCCTTGAGATAATGTCCTTAGTGAAGCCGACATCAAAATCCAACATGACTCGTAAGTCTGAGCCGAGTTGAATGTCATCCTGGCTTTTAATGGTTATACGTTTCGTTGCTAGACGTTTAGCCTTGAGTTCAGCAATTTTTTCAACTGACATAGCATCAGAAAGAGATCTGTAATGCAAAAATAATTAGTTACACTTTAAATAAGATTGTTAACAATATAATATAAAAATTTACTTAATGTTGTTGACCGTGACGGAAGTTTCTTTCGGCGCATCAAGACGCGCGGCAAGCTGCTGTTTGCCCCTTTGCACCTGGTTTTCTTCAAGGCGAGGCTTCTTGGCAAGGTTTTCCGCATTGTCTTCGGCCATTCGTTTGACCTGTGTCGGTATCTCAAGAGGAGCACTCTTGTCAATGTTGACAGAAGTAACGGTCTCTCCATTGAGATATGCCAATAGATCCCTACGGTCTGGACGGCGTACAACTGATATGTTTTCGGTCTGTTCAAACAAATTTTTAACACATTTAAAACACTCAATAATGAACAACAATAATGGTATCTTTTATGGGGCATGGATATGACTGTAGAGTTGAAAATACACCCGATACTGCCCCATCTAAGCAATACTTTTATATTTAACCATTTCATTTGTCGCCGAGAATCAAATTGATTACACGACATTTGAAAAATGGCAAAAAAGAGGGAAAATTCAAAAGGTGTGGTTGAGATGGGAAGTTGATGTCCGAGTGGATCGAGGTCACGATAGCTCAAGTGGTAGAGCAGCGGCGTATCAAGCCGAAGATCGTGGGTTCGAATCCCGCTCGTGCCATTGACTTTTTTGTCTCATCTGAAAACCTTAATTAATTGTAATATATTAATTGATCAAGCGGACCACGAAACTTGTGAATTTATATTTAACTTTTTATTTTGAAAAAAAAAAAAATGAAAATAATGGATACAAGCTATTTTGACTGTAAAAGGCTGCTCAAAGAAATGATGTAATTACGTGTATAATCAGTCATAACATGGTCATAAGTATACAGAAGTGTGAAATTTGAATATTGTAATTATGAGTATTAATAAAAAAATAAAACCTAGTTAAATTTAAAAAAATTAAGTAATTGTTGAAACCAAGACTACATCCCTGATATACAATTTAAATAGTTATCTTTTATGTTATATTTTAAACTTTAACTCTTAAGCCTCTTACAGATGAGTATTGATTCAACTGGTTGAACGGACGGGTGTAAAGGAGTGTAACGTGGTAGCAAAATGTTTGGGAATCACCCCCAACCCCTTCACACTCGTCCGCCTATGCGGGTGACCAGCTGGCACCACTGTTTGACTCAATTCTAAAAACACTGCTCGGCATTCATCCTTGTTGTTCCTTCATATCAGTCGCCTAGTTGAGTCAACTGAGTTCACCATGGAAAACGTTGCAATTGAAAGCAGTTCAATAAAGAAATTAGTATTAGTCCCACAATATAATAATCCCACAAAAATAGCTATGATTCGGATAAGTTGAATACAGTCCTCCTGGTTCATTCATTCACTTGAGACAAGTGCATTTAAAAACTGACTGGCGGTCGGCTCACCCCGAAACATCCTCACGTCAAAAGTATTGCCATCCCAGCTAGCTATCCACAATGCAAGACATTTTTCACAAAACAGTTGCATAAGCGATTATCGCGCAGTAGAAATCCAGCTTAAGAATAAGCAGACCAAATTGATGGTAGGTTGAGTTTGTTTCATCAGTGTCAAAATACTAAAAAAAAAAAAAAAAAAAAAAAAAAAATTGTCTTTTTCCATGTCCTGGGTGAATTCAAAGTAGAATTAAGCTAGTAAAGCCCTTACTTTTGGAAACAACTCAAACACCCTCCCCCCAATTATTATTATTTTTATTTTTTTATTTTTATTTTTTTTTTGTAAATTGTCTTTTTCATTTTAAAACGACCTAGAGGGAGATTTGAAGAAGAATTAAGCAATTCAAACCCTTAATTTTGGAAATAAACTTTAAAAAAATCTAAATTGTCTTTTTCAATTTCATATGCCTTCCTGGGTGGATTCGAAGTAGAATTAATTATAGAAATTAACGTTAATTTTAGAAACAAACTCAACTAAATCCATTATAAATGGGGGGGGGGGGTAAAATTTTCATTTATTGACATGAATTAAGACCTTTCTTTGGCTTGCAAGCCTAAATAATTGTTTGCATCAGCCAACAATGAAATAAAAATTATTTAACATGACATCTGATGCTTGTTGTGGATATCATTTAGATATTCTATCAAGAAATATTACATTATACTCTTTTGTTCACTGTTCCTTACAAGAGAACAATAAAAAGCCTTTGTAATAGTAGTGCAAAATTGTTTTCTTCGCTTTTATATATTTATTTTAAATCATGGGGTTATGCTGTAATGCCTAATGTTATTCAAATTCTAGTAGATAAAAATTTTGAACAAAGAATTGTAAAAATTGAATCACTGTAAAATAATATCTAAACAACATATCCTAAATTAAAACTAACCAAACATGATTTAATTACTACGAGCAATAAATCAGATACTATCATGGCTAAGTATAGGACATACTTACATAAATATTTTATGGAAGCAACCAACTGTCTGATAAACCCATATCGACATTAAGCTAAATATATACTTCCTCTTACGAACTAATGTGATACAAGTGATGCGATAACCAATTCAACAATGTTTCACTTACATTCCTTGCATAAGCAACAAAACTGCTGCACACCAGCGCAATCGCGATGCGACGCCAATAATTATTGTGGTTGTTTGTTAGGGTGACCCAGCTTCTCAATCACTCCAGGCAACAGAATGGTGTGAATAGTCAGTAAATTATGTTGGCTAAACAGGAGGATGTCTAAATTGAGCAGAACCCACGTTTATGTAACTATTCTTTGAAAAGTTATTTAAGGACTGATTTAACAAACAGAAAAAATAACAGAAAAGCTAAAGCTGAAAAGTTTAGTTACTTGTTAAAGTATTGGTGAACTCAATATTTTCTTGTTTTTGATTTTCACTGATGTAAATGCATTAATGACATCCTCCTCTGAAGAGCTTATGATTATAACTGCATAAAAAGATATTATGCTATGTAGTATCGCTTGTCACTTTGCTCCAGGATGCACAAGTGCCGATAAAAGTAATATTGGGCTATGAAAGAATCCTTCATGTTGTATCACCTATCGCATCACTCCATAGGGCACCTGCTTTATATATGTAATCAATAATATTATAAGATAGAATTTATGCAAAGACCCTCTGCTGGATTTGAGGACATGTGGGAGTTGAAGGCAATGAGATAACGTTATAATAATAACGCCCTAGCAAGGAAAAGGGCTGCTATACCACTGACATGTCCTGAGGCCTTCTGTGGCATAGGAATTCACTCATCGGACAAAAACAATCCAAGAACTTTGTAGCAAGTTTTAGAAGGAAAGAAACAACAGAATGCATTAAAGGAAGCTGGAAAAAATTCTGTATTCCAACAGGACACATGGGCATCTGAAGAAGATTGTCTTACCCAACCTGGCACGTGCAGATAATGCAAAGAAGCCCAGTAGACACCTACTAAAAAACTGTGGCGCCACATTTGCCCATAGAGGAAGTACAACATAACCGCAGAAGAAATTCAACCGCTGAAATGAGCCTACCAATAAAGTTCCCTGATGAATTAGGACACTTGATAGGACCTCACCAGTGTGCTATAAGTACAGAACAGGGGATACAATAGTTTTCAAAGGGTGCAGTATATTACATACTCTTTCTGTATAAGCCCAAAACATGAGCAACTACAAACTCATTAGGGAAGTACACTTCGGTCTTTCAAGCAGAAATACATGCCATAAATGCTTGTGCCCTGGAAAATCTTAAAAGAGGTTACACTGATAAAAAAATCCTCATAAGATCAGATAGCCAAGCAGCCATTAAAGCATTAGCATGTAAAAGAATCACATCAAAATTAGTCAGTGAATGTATCCAAAATCTCCTAAACCTGGGGAAACACAACAACCTGATGATATCTTGGGTGCCAGGGCACAGGGGAATTTTGGGTTACGAGAAAGCAGACAGTCTGGCCAGAGGAGGATCTGCAAGACCATACGCCCCGAACCTATTCTTGGGATAACAAAAATAAATATAAAATCCTCCATCGCAGAATGGATCCCAACAAAACAAAAGTAAATGTACAAAGTAAATGTAATAGGTAGAAAAGGGGGAGAAGTGGATAAACTCTTGCAATGCTGGACATAGTAAACTTATGATGAAACAACCCTCACCAAGACTGGCAAAAGCACTGCTGCAATTGGAGAGGGCCAAACTCAGAGGAGTGGTAGGGCTACTAACCGGTCACTGGCACCTGAGAAAACATCTACACAACATGGGTATATACAATGATGATCCCATTTGCAGATTATGTAATGAGGAGGAGGAAACAGCCACTCATATCATATTCGAATGCGAAGCAACAGCTCAATGGAGATTTAACCTAACGTACGGAATAAAACTTAGGGAATCAAATGCAGCAGCGCCAGTCAATGACCTGATACTTCTAAAGAGAAGGATTGAGTCTATTGCACTGAGCTAAGGAACTAGGAAGGTACAATAAGATAGAAGGCTGCAGTGCCTGGGAAGTGCAAACCCTGCTTCCTAGTATCCTTTTTCACCATACCATATTACATACTCCGAACACCTTACATCTTAGCAATAAATTTTTAGTAAGTATGCTTATAAATTCAACACCTTCAAACTATGAACTAGCCATTTGTAAATAAAACTGCCTGATCATTTTACTACTAGTAAAAACTAAATTGAATTTTTTAAGCATTGCCCAAATTAAAAGTTTGCCCTGTAAATATGAGGTAACTGGGACGACCATATGTATAATTAAATAATTAACAGATGATAAGAGTTTTGGAGATTTTGTGAGCCCTTATTTTTCAAAAGGTGTCATCAGGCTCTTAGTGTACATAAAAAAAAAATACCGATTGGTTATATATTTTTAACATTTTAAGCAAAACGCTTAAAATTAACATTGAAGGCACAGATTATAAAATTAAGGATTAGGTTTTACAAACCTAATTGTCCAACTTTCTCCAAGTTTGCCTATATAATTGGGTCATAGGGCACAATCAGTTATTTTAATAAAGAAAATTTGACATGCCTTTAAACTCTCGAGAGTCGATACTGAAATGAACTGAATCGAGATAGCATGATGCGATTCAACGAGAACAGCTCGGCTGACAGCAGCCACTAGCTGAGTTAAAAAGAAAAATCATTGGTTTGGAATTCTGGCTATACTACTACTTACAGTGGCTTGCTTGACGTAAACTGAATGGCTAAGCTGGACGTTCTTAAGAAGAAACAGCAAGCACTCCAGTGTATAGTACTCCTTTGCAGCTCCATCCTTCCCAGACCTTAAAGTTAAAAATCCATTTTTGGGCAATGGTTCCTACAATTGTTCTTCGATAGAAAAAGTACAACTGTAAAAGTACTCACCCGTAAACCAGGTAATTTGTCTTGACGGCTTTGGGCCAGGAAAACTCGCCGAATATGATATTGTTGTCCCTCTCGATGATCTCCTTCTTGTTGACGTTGTACTGCCTCAGTATGCTCAGGGGGTCTGCCATCGTTCACCCGTCTTTTTTAAAAACGCAGCAAGGAAATATTTAAGTTTCAGATACAAGGAGAAAAGAGAATTGGAAAGTTGTGCGACATGGACGAGAACAGTCGTAGGTTATATGCTCGGGTTCCTCTTGGCTTATTATCCCACTCGAAACGGTCCCCTGTCGATTTCCGGCCTTCGTTCCTTACGAGAAAAAAACACAAACTACACGCAAAATCACAGATGGAAACTATTTACCCGAGCTGTTCACTTCTGAAGAACGTGTTTACCTCTGTTAGATACTATTTACGACTGCTGGTGCCATCTGCGTGCAGAACCTAACGTCTGCGTCATCGACTTATTCTGCAGGTGCAGGCAACGACGTTCACTCTTCAGACTCTCACAATTTCTTTATTATATTAACTGAATCTACAAATTCGAGACAAACTTCTCCTAAAAAGTACAAGGTAAGCTATTTTCAGAAAGAAACTATTATGTTGATACACAACATAAATGTAAAAATTTACCAGAAGAATATTTGTAAATTTTAAGTTATAGCACTACTCAATCAGTTACCCTAAGAAAATCAAAGCATTATCAAAAAACAAAGTAATATGAAAAAATACTTTGGGCATCGGTGGCCACAACGGTTTAGGCGTTGACACGGCGCTCATCACTGTAAGGTAAAGGTCCTGGGTTCGAATCCAGCGGCCCTGCATTCAAACCCAACAACTAACCCTTAGGTACCCTGAGGGTTTATATGACATCTGCTGTTGCGAACCCTCATAAAAAAAAAAAAAAAAAAAAAATACTCTGGATCTTGGCAAGGCCTGGATGAAAAAACAAATTCAATTGTCAAGTTTTTAACTTATTTTGAGGTCATCATCATGACAAAACAATCTTTCAAATGTTTCCAAATTGACATAATTAAGTTTTTAATAGATGGTTTAAAAATTCTTTAAAAAATGACCCAGTCACAACATTGTCAAGGACTTATCATTGAATCATTCTTCAAAGAAATTTGAAATCCTTTATTAAGAACTGAATTATATAAATTTGTATCGAAACAAACTAACCAGTCTATTAGTAAGTGTTTTACAGTTAGGATTTCTTCACAATTTTGACACTTGGGTGGTTGGTCTCGTGACATCAAATAACCATGAGTAAGACGGGTATGGCCAATTCTTCTGACACTGTTTCTTCAAATCTAGATTGTCTAATTGATGATTTCCTACTACTTTTTATTTTGTTTAGCTTGTTGTCTGTCACATTATTCCACATTTGTTGCCAGGATAACCAAATTTTTGTTTTAATAACACTTTCTACGCCATCATGTGGCACCGTTGTTTTTGGTAAACCATTCTCGATGGCCTCTTTAGCAGCTTGGTCTGTTAGTCCGTTTCCCGCTATTTGACAATGGCTAGGTATCCATATAAAGAACACTTCAGTTCCTATTGTGTGTAGATGTCTGAGAGAAAGAAGTATATCTTAAATGATAGGTTTATCAGTAAATTTTTTTTTATATATAAAAGTGCTGAAAGTGAATCGGTACAAATGGCTATTTTATTGTATGAAGGTACTATTAGACATTTGCTTATGGCAATCAGCTTCGCAGTATAACTATATATATAATGCAGGGTGGGTGACCAAGACCCAAGGGGTTTAATGTCTGGGTAAACTCATACCCCATCCCTACAAGGTCCGGGACTTGGTCGGTTCATGTGTCCTGCATAAATCTCTTGGACCTGTTCACAAACCCCAAGATTTTGGACCATTTAATCTCGGTGAGTGATTTGGTGATGTTCGCTCCTTCACAGATTTCATAGCATACCTATCACACACTGCGAGGTAGTGGCTTGTCGTTTCTTCTTTTATTTTGCAAAAATGTCAAAAGGGATCTGGTAGAATACCCATTACGAAGAGGTATCTTCTCGGTGGGCAGTGGCCTGTCAGGATACCTATCAGCCGCAGTATAACTGCTACATAAATTTGAGAGTGAAAACTGTCTGGACCCTTTTAAGCAGCAGTTGTTACACCCATGGATCAGTGGTTTGGTGGGCAAAGAGCAGTTAGATGGACACAGGTCAGTCCAGATCCTCATTACTGCTAAGAGACTGGCACTCCAAGGCTGCCCTAGAATGAATCTACCACCACCACACATCTTTATTCGGGGAGAGGCCAGAGCACAAAGGCACTCAGGGACAGGCTCCAATAACACTGTTCCAGGGGGATAAAAAGGCTGGGGATTGTCAATAGAAGAATAGCCATCCACTCAGACAGTCAGGTGGCACTGAAGGCAATTGACGCATTAGCGGTCAAGTCCAGAGTTGTTTGGTACTGCATTAAAGCCCCGTCAGACATTGGGGACAATAACAAAATTACCCTTGGAAGACGCGCAACGAAGAGGCTGATAAATTCACCAAGGAAAGTTCAATGAGGACACCAGTTAGTCCTGAACCCTTTTGTGGCTTACCAAACTGCCAAAAACGTGGATCCATGACAATGGATTAATAACAAGTTGTCCACTCAATCGGAATGTAGCCCAGGTCAGAGGCATGCAAAAAAGTTTATCAAAGGACCATCACAAAAACTAACAACGAACTACTAAATCTAGTAATTGCTAAGACTAGTATAGAATGGCATATAAGCCGTGGACAATATGCCACCATCTTTCAAGCAGAAACTGTGGCTATTGAGCACTGTGCCAGGGAGATAAAAAGGCTGGGGATTGTCAATAGAAGAATAGCAATCTACTCGGAAGGCAGTTGGGCTGTTAACTGAACACTGCTGACTCCAGAGGCATATGTATGGACTCGGAATGGCAGAAACAAGCCTGGCAGGTATTGCCAAGAAGAAGAAGAAGAAACAGTGGAACACATCCTCTGCTGGTGCGACCTATGTAGGCTGAGATTCCTTTTCCTGTAAAGGGAAAAGCCAGGGCCTGAAGGATACACACGGGAGCCCTTGAAAAAGCTTTGGAGGTCTGGTAAAAAGCCTTAAACTTGACGAGGAGCTCTAGATAAAAAATGGAGATGCACAATAGACCAATCCTGGTCATGGTGCACAGGTCATAAAGATGCCGGCTCCTATATAATCTAATCTAACCTAATGTCGTTGTGTAGAGATTTAAGATTGTTTTGCCCTGATGATGACCAATAAAATGGGTCAAAAGATTGGGGGAGAGGGGAGGGAGGGAGAGAGAGAGAGAGAGAGAGAGAGAGAGAGAGAGAGAGAGAGAGAATCAGTGAGAGAGGGAGAGAGAGAGGTAATAATCAGAAATCATATTTTCATTTTTTACAAGTTATTTAATGTCTATTATATTATGGATTCTAATTAAGGTTTAAATACATCAAAAATAATTTAAAGTACCCTAGTAACAATAATTTGTTGAAGTTGTGAGGATTGATCAAGAATGAGGTAGGTTAGAAAAACACAATTTTCATGTTTTTGCCGATGTTTCAACCTTTATTCGGGTCCTCTTCAGTGCCTAGATAGATTACAAAACATACGTTGATTGGAAAAAATACAATTTAAGATGTAAATATAAATGTTGAACCACGAATTTCTTACTTGGTACTACTTCACAATTATTTCATATCTTGCCAATCTACATAGTTTTGTAATTTATCTAGGCACTGAAGATGACCTGAATAAAGGCGAAACACGGCAAAAACATGAAAATTGTGTTTTTCTAACCTACCTCATTCTTGATCAATCCTCACGACTTCAACAAATTATGAAACAACGAGTCACTAAGAAACACACATACTAGTAATAATTAACAAATAAATAAATATGTAAGAATGTTAATAATTAATAAATAGTAAAATCAGTAATAAATAATATTTACACAAAAGTACAAAATTTATTCTGGTTCTATTACTACAATAATAGTATAGTATAATAATATATTATATCAAATATATAACACAAGGATATTGTATTTACATTTTTATCTGTAGAGGTACTAAAGCTTGTTTTCATTATAATTAGTGATTGCTTTTACACATAATAATTATATAGAAAAGATCAGGAATAATGCAAGGATCTTGTTTTATGTATCTAATATGTTTAGTTTTGCAATGCAGCACCATCAGCTAATAATGTTTCAGTTTAGTACTCAGATGGCTGCCTGGATATCAGAAATTATTGCTGCCTGCTTGTTTTTGTACCCTTTATTCAAATTAAACTGTGTACATCTCTCAACTTTCATTGAATGGTGGATTTCAGCTTGAAAGTTATTGGTGTCTCATGTGTTCCAAGTATTAAGTTTTGGGGACAAGAACTACTGTCCCTGAACCTTCTTCCGTTCCAGATCCAACAGTGCACCAGCAGATAGTGCCTTTCTTGTTGGACTTTTCATATTTTTTCCCACTCCTTTTTGGTACTTAGGCTTCTCTGATTTTCATGAGATTTGGACAGATTTTTATAGTGTCAACTATTATTACAGACAAAATAATGCATAACTCATAAATATGTAACAGCTCTGCCTCCGATTTGGGACAGCTCTGCTACCAATTTTGTGAAGTAGGTCATTGGTTGGTTTTTTTTTGTTTTGAAATCAAACAAATAAAATTAAATAAAACAAATCTTCTTTTATTAAAAAAAAAGTTATACTGAATTTTTATATATATATTTTTTGATTAGAAAATAATAAAATTTCTAAGAGAAATAAACTATTTACAACCTCAAAATTTCTATAAATTATTATTTTTCTTTTGTTTTAAATATAACAAATCTTTAAAAAAAAATTTTATTTAGAAATCGTGAGATGCGAGAGAGGGCACTCTCGACACGACACGCAAGACAAACACTTTGAGCCCTGAAGATGATCTCAATAAAGATCGAAACGTTGGCACGATAAAGAAAATGTTTTTCTGAAACCTACATCACACCAGACCGCATCTCACGATTTCTAAATAAATATCGATTAATGGTCACTAATCACCACACATACTAAATTTTTCATATTTTTTTTATAATCTTGAAATGACAAAATTTCTGAAGAGAAATAAACTATTAACAAATTCAAAATTTTGTAAACCAGACAGGACAGGAAAAAATGGCTTAACTCACGTGTCCGCACCAGTGGCATAGGTCTCCCTTCCTTCAGTCCTTATAATGAGTGAGAGAGACTCCACAGGAGGGGCCTTTTATACCTTGTAGACGGGGTGTTGTTTGATTTGTATTTTGATGGGTTTTATCTGAAAGTAGTTCCTAACTTACTTATTTTTTTTGCATGTATAATTTTGGTTATAATTGTAATTAGTAATTTTATTTGTTAAA